CTTTCGTGGACTACAGCCCACTTCTTCGGATGCATCCGAAGAAGTGGGCTGTAGTCCACGAAAGCTTATGCTCTAATAAATTTGTTAGTCTCTAAGGTGCCACAAGTACTCCTGTTCTTCTTTCCACCAGAATAGTCCAGATCCCAACATATGTGTAGCACACTACACATATTAATGAAGCATCACACACCCCTATAAAGTAGGCAAGTATCATAACATATCCATGGCCACATAGGACTTCATTGTTGTCAATCACTGTGTCTGTGCACCAGTCCAATTTCATGGTAACACCAGAAAGAGAACTTGGAACATCCCATTCCAAAAGCACCTACCACTTCAGCATACAGAAAATCATCATCTGCCAGCGGTAGAGGGCCTATGACACATAGGGTATGTCTACACTTGGATCTGGAGGTGTAACTCCCATCTCAAGGAGACATACCCATGCTAGGTTGGATTAGTGTATAAAAAAAGAAGCGTTCCTGCTGTGGCGAAAGCCGTGGGAGGAGCTAGCCACCCCAAGTATGGTGCCTAGCCTTTCAGATGAGATCATTCTCGGAGCAGCTAGCCCGTCTGGCTGCCTGCACCGCTGTGGCTACATTTCTATTTTTAGTACACTAGCTTGATCAAAGCTAGTGCATGTTTTTCTCCTTTACAGCTCCAGAGCAGACATACCCTTGTTCAAAAGCTTTATTTCCTTGCAGTAGAGTACAGTCACACACAGTCATACTTTCCACATCATTCCTATCATTTCAAGAATTCCCTCAGTTCCCATGTACTTATTGGGTCCCTTACAGCAAGCTCTTCATACATGGAACTCCCACTGATTGAAATATCTGGGTGGAGTTTAACATGTTGCTCCTAACCTAGAAATGATTTTGACACCAGCTGAGGATCTAAACCTATACGTGTTGTAATTTTTGTAAAATTCCCCCGAGCACTGGAAAGACCTTTGAAATAAACCCAACTAAAGAAACAAATGGAAAGGAAGCAATCAGAGAAGTGCTTGTAAAAAAAAAAATCTATATAGTACAATTGGGTGACCTAAGTCATTCTGGTATATTACTCTCTGTGATATGTGCCTGCTTCTGAAAATGGTCTTCTCCAACACCTTTATGAAATGTGCCAGAAGAAAGATCAACGCTGCTTTTAATAAAGATCCATATAATTCATTCTAAATGCTTCTCAACAGAAATAACCTATTGTATAATATCTGATTTAACTAATTAATCACAGTCCCAACAGTCACTAAATATCAGTAGCCAAATGCTTTTCAGAGGCACGTCAAATGTGAGTTAGTTGGGGGAAAAAATGATAAGTGCCTTATTTATATAGTCATATGTAAACAGGTGTTTGCATATTTAACAGGTGAGAATTAAATGTGTTTTTGTTTCTTATGATGCTGTGAAATAGAGAGCATGACAGGAACATAGGGGATAAGGGTTTACATTAGAGCTGTGGCGGGGAGAGGCTGTACCCAAGTCAGTCTTGCAATCCAAGAGAAAAATACATGTTACTTGTTGACTTAGGTGACTGATTGCCATTTTAATACTTTTACATAATCCCCTTGCCCTTCGAGGGATTCACAGATATACAGGGCTCACCACTGCGATCTTTGCCATTTTGTGTTCTCAAGTAGGTAACATTACTACCAGCTTTCCTTGGGATTCTTAACAGAGGGAATATCTGGGGCAACTCTGATTATTTACAAAGGCATTTGTTAAGATTTGAGTGGTGACATCCCTCCAGAAATACACACCACTTAATCACCTAACTTAACAGGAATCCAATCAAAGTTGCCACTGTTAGAGCAGCAGAGGAAATACCACGGTACTGTAATTTACATGACAGTCACTCCTTCACTTGTGTTAAAAATGATAAATAACTATAACCATTTCGTACAAATAAATAAAGATGAGGCACGAGCGATGGATTAACTGTTTACTGCTGGGTTTCTTGTACCTACCACTAGCCCTCTAGACACTCTCAGAAATACTAGACTAGACGGATCACTGGTCTTATCCAGCCCGGATGGTGCAGCATGGAGCAGCCCATATGGATTGTTAGCTGTCAGCTTCTCTGCAACAGAAAACCAGCCTAGCACTGAGATGGCTGGTGGTCAAGGGGCTTCAAAGATTGCCTATGGACACCTCCCATCTTGCACCATGTGCACTTGGCTGAACCAGGGAATCTGGCCCAGTAGCAAGACATCATTTTCCTGCTTTTCTGTGCTGCATTGCCATTTTGTCTTCATTTCCACTGACCCCTTAGTTACTCTAGCTAAGCCACGTTTGGTTGAAAGCTAGGCCACATCGGATCATCTCTGCACCACAATTGCCATTCATTAGAGCTAATCCTGGCTCTCAGCACATATTGCAGACCTTATGTACTTTAAACATCTCAGAGGGTCCTTTTTTTTCCTTTTCAGAGAGCCAGCAGCATAGAAAAGCACAAAGACATCGGCTCTAACTGCACTAAGCTATTCACCAGGGGTCTGAAACAATCAGGTTCATATGAAAATACATCCCATTATCTAGGAGGCTTGCATCAGTGTTATTTTACCTTGCTTTTCCTTTAAATTATGTGTAACTTAACTGGCTCCCTGTTTTCAAGGGAAAAGGCTTCGGCTCTCTGAAGAATGAATGAGATTTATTTCAGAAAGATCAGATCGCAAAGGAGCCCCATATTCTGCTCAGGCCTTAAAAAAATCAAGAGCAATGACAATGAAGACAGGTAAGGCAGGAAAAAGGCTCTAATCTTACCCATAGGGGCATGTTCGGTGGGAAAACCTAAGGTACAATGATCATAATCACAAACACTGGGGCCAAGATTTTCAAAACTCTGGGATTGATATTAGGCTCCTAAGTCGAGCTGTGTGCTAACTGATTTTTTGGTTCACTGGCCATTCTGAAAAATGTGGGGGAAATTGGTTTGAGTTGAACTGAAACCCACATTTTTCATCTACTTGAAAAATCGCCTTGGAGGTCAAATGCAACATTTCATTCACCCAGTGGCTGGGTCACTCACAGGTTATGTGGGAGACCCAGTTTGAATCCCTGCTTTGGAACAAGGACTTGAGTCCAGGTTTTCCCCCTCCAGGTGAGTTCCTTAACTACCAGCTCATAGGATATTCTGCTATTGGGCTCTCTCAATTTCTCTTGTTGAAGCTGTCCCTCCACTTCTGTTTAAAATACTTGGCTAGTCACTCAGCCTGAGAAAGAGAGTGAGTCTGCCTCTATAGCCTGGTGACTAGGGCTTTTAAAAAAAGTTGGATAATATAATTTTCCAATTGTTTTCTTGTTTTGTTTCAGCCAAAACAACTGCCATCATCGACATGAATTCACCAAACATTTCAGTCGATCTGAATCTGCAATTTTCAGTGAAAAAATATTTTGGATAAAAAAATGGCCCATCTCTCCTCTAAGTCCATATTTAGGCACCTACATGTGTGGCCTGATTTCCAGACAGGCTGAGTGCTCTGCCTGCAGTGGATATGGCTGGATGCCCAAGGCTTT